CCCCAAAGTTTACGTAGGCTTTTTTCCAATAGGAGACGGCTGCAGAGCAGCCATCGGCAGGGCCTGTCTCTGGCGCGTACGCGTAGGTGCCGTCACGCTCTACAGTTGCCCCCGTAATGTTAAATGCTGCACCCTGAGAGAACCGAATAGCAAGTGAGTCAGCTCAGCTCTAGTTAGACCAAAACGGCTGCCGAACACAAACGCAGATACGCAGACAACCACACAGACACACTGTACGGCGACGGTAGAGCGAATGCAGGCCGCTTGCCTCCTGTATGGCGGAGCAAATCTTTGCAATCTCCTCCTTTGCTGTTGGCACCTTCTTCCCTTCCTCCTCCTCCTCAGTGAAGGCTTCGAGGCCTGCTCGTTCTCGAGCCGCATTGAAGTCGGCAAGGCAGTTGGCGGGGGCTGCACAGATGCGAAACCACAACAACCGCTGCAAGTATCTCTGAAATTTTTCTGTAAACAACCCAACATTGGATTATTTCGCTGTGGCATTGCTTCCACCCACCGGCCGACCCTTCTGCATTCGAGTCGCCGCTCTCCACTCCGCGGGCGGCCCCCAGCACGGCAGCGGCAAGCAGAACTGAACTGAGCTTCCTCATGGTGTTCGGCACAGATTCAGCAACCAAATCGCAAAGCCGGAGGATCCCAGAGAAATGTACCTGGTTTCAGCTTGTAGCTGCACTGCAAGGCCACTGGTCTCCTAACTGGCTACAGGGCTGTCCATGCGGTGTAGGCCGGGCTTCCGGAAGCGCAGCTGGTTGCATGAGGGATCCTTCTGCTCTGCGACAAAATGGGAAAGTTGTTTTNGGGCTTCCGGAAGCGCAGCTGGTTGCATGAGGGATCCTTCTGCTCTGCGACAAAATGGGAAAGTTGTTTTGCTGTATCTGAAATAAATAAATTCCCTTCCAGCTTTAATGGGGCAAATTTCAGTGACAGTTTGGTGTGGTGTGTCCATTTCTCGTGTGGGAGCGAAATTTGCCATCTTTTTCGGGTAAATGCAAGGGTCTCTTATCCTTGCTAGAGAGAAAAGTGGGGAGACGAGATCCAGGCTTCGATGGGGCTGCACGGATACAACAAACTCGCTCTTCTGCTCTTGCATTACCACACGAGATAAGGAGCCGTTTACCCTCTTCTTCGCGTTTTAATTCAGCTGGCAAAATCATTTACAAAGCACAAAACCGAAGCCTCCAATGTGTCTGAGTGATTTTTCTCTATACGCAACAGAGCCTCAACTACCATTTTTGGGAATCGAAGCTGCGACCTCCGGACCGAAGGCGGTGCAGTACTCGGAGAAAGCAGCCAGTTGAGCACGGTTCTGAGCTTAACCGTTTGGCCTGTTGTTCTGGTTTTGCAGGAAGGAACGAGTGGACGCATCCCTTGCACCCTGCCAATTGTCTTTCTACGGGGTATGACATTTTCTTCGTTTACATACGATATAGGGAAAATTTGTCAGGTTTTAGTAGGGCATACATGCTCTGCAGGAACCCTTCAAAAGCCGCATCCTGGGTTTATGCTTGCCGCTTTATCCTACTATGTTTCCGCCCCTGACCAGCTAAAGGGTAAAGTCTTAGTCATGACAAGCTACATGTGTAACGGTTCAGCGGTTTGAGGAAGGACCGTGCAAGCGGCAAAAGAGATGAGGTGACTGTAAGCGAAATTTAGGAGCACCGTGTGGCACTTCGTATCATGTTATCTACCTGTAGGGAGCCCCGGTTAAGAGATCCAAAGAAACATATCCTTCATGCTGTCCTGCAGACACTGCAGATACTGCAGTTGCACTAACACAGGCATGGCAACTGAGTTTCAAGAAGATCTCACCGAGTTGCGCCTTCT